AAAGCAGACCTGCTTCCTCATCCTCATCTTCCTCCTCCTCATCATCATCAGAGCTGGATGACGAGGGGCCTGCGGCTGGGCCTGAGGTGGTGGCAGAGGCAGAGCTTGCTCCACTATTAGTAACATATCCATACTGCATGCCTGTTGGAAGAGGGGAGTGGGAAGGGCACATAAGAAAACTGTCAAGACTGGGTAATCGACAGCAGACAGGGCGGCGGAGGTCGGGCAGTAAACTTAAGTTAATGTAGTGTATGTGGTGTGTGTTGAAGAAATTAACGTCTCCGATCGATTGATAAAAGTAGCTGGATGTCAGACAAACTACCTTTAACAACACCATAATACTGAGGCTCTTTGCTTTATTTGATACACTTTGTCTTCATGCATAAGAGTTATAGACCCACGAGCAAAATTTTCTGCCGATGAGAAAAGGTGAGTATCACAACTTGTTTTGCATTAAGGTGTGTTGCTTAACATAAACTCCATATCCAGTGTACATTTGAATATTTTAGAGGGCAGCTGACAATTTGGTACAAAAAAAACAGACACCTTGAAACTTACATGCACACACAAGCAGGTGTAAAGTAGGCATAAAATACATATCCCTTGTTGTGTCAAACTGATTGTAGCACCTGCAAATATGTTAATCCCCGTGGGACTGTATTACTCATAAAGTTGTTTTTTGTGTCAGTACTGTGGGTGGCCTACTGCTACAGAAATGTATCGCACAATCTATTCAGCAAATTGCATCGCAATAATGAACCATAATGATCACAATCATTGCATTCACCGTTACAATGAAGCTTATATGCAGCTTAAAATAATAAGACCACTTGATTAATGAACCACTTGAAATATTTGTAACAACAAGCTGTGGCATTAAGAGTTGCATCCGCTTTGTTTGTTCAGTTTTTCTCATGAGGTTGTCTAACATGTTTTCACTTGCTCCGGGATAGAGAATTAATGATTTAGGCGCACATTTTACTAAACAAGGTATACTTTCTTTCTCTGTGGAGAGACTATGCAAAGCTTCAAAGTCAATTGGGTTTTGCAACCACAATTATGATTAAATGCAGGCGCAGCTGGTGCAAGAGTCCTTTGGTCTTAACCTGCTAAGCTGACATTGGAAATATTCACAGGTCACAGCCAAAAAACAAAACAGCAGCAGGCAGTTGAGTGGCAAGTTTCAAATTTGTTTCAATACTCACACCTGCACATTTGAAACTGTGCGTGTGTGCAACAGATTACGTGTGGTGCATTTCCAAAGTGCAGCTGTGAACATGTGTACCGTTCACACACACACACACACTTGCACACTAAACTTGGAGCAGGATTTCAAACATTCAAATAGTAGATCTAAACATAGGCTGAATCAAGAGTTTGCACCAGAAAAGACAAAAAACAGGCACCACAGCACTGCAAAACCAAGAGCAGTCATTTGTCCTATAATGACCTCATGTTCAAACACCAAAGTAAAGAAGGTTAGAAAAAGAGTGTTCACGTCAACACCAATTCCAACCAAAACACAAAGATAAAATAAAAGGACACCTTCTCAAACTACTGCACTAGTGTGATGTTTTTTCTGTAAGCAGAGAAACAAAATATAACAGGAAACTGATTTTATGTTGACCTTTTAACTACAAAAAGGGTTTCTGGTCTCAAAATTTTAACACAACCCCCCAAAGAGAATTTTAAACTATAGGCTATTTTGAAAACATTTAAATTTTTCTTTTGAAGAAGCTGAAATTAATATTTTGTCTAAAAGATTAACTGCACATTGGCAGTCTGTCAACTTCTAACTTTGTACATACAGAAACTGCTAAAATTCCTCAGTTAAAACAACAACCACCTAATTTCACAACCTGCTGTTCATCAGTATCAGCAGTAACAATGGTGATTCATCTTTTTGTGTGTGTTGCATCAAAGTAAAAAACCAAAACCAAAAACTATAATCTGACTGTTACCTTGGTGGTGGCCCGGCGAGGAATGGACTGAAGTGGAGGGGGTTCCTGAGGGTGGCTGGTCTGCTTCTGCGCCACCACCACTGCTGTGACTGACCCTGCCATAGGAGTCATAGCTCAGAGATGCCTGGTGGCTTTGGTGGTAGTGCTGGTGGACTGTGGTGTGGGTGACAAGAAAGAAGCCAAACATAAATAAAATGTAGGACACCTCCAACAGGAGAATAAAAGGTCTGCGTAACCCAAGATCTCCTTAATGAAGACTGACACTCAGGAAATACATGAACTACAAACAGATATTTGGCTGCTTACATCGTTATTTTTGGGTTTATGTGTGTACCAGTATGGTTTGATTTTTCACTCCTATATTGGCTGATACAAACAAAGATTTTTGTATTTGCACAAAGGCAGGTTCAAAACCTTTTAGCCATGCCTAATCAACTTAAGTGACTTGAAGAAAAAAGATTATGACACTTTTGTTCTGTAGGTAATTAGAAAGCTATACTGAGTGACACACACACACGACTGGAACGCAACAATGCAGTGTTGGTAAGAAAGTATTTGACTGATACCAATACAGCTAGTATACATGCTTTTGCAACATCCAATGCATAAAGTGCTCTGGAATAAACATATAGTTTTATAGAATCTTTTGAAAATGTCTCACATTCCAGCCTGCAGCTGATCAGCCTCAGTTTAAATTAACCATTCACACACGTACGTACCTGTGCTTCCTTGACCATTGACTGTCGGCACCAGTTGACTAGGAGGAGCGACACTGTACCCAGGCTGCACTGTTGTTGTTGAGGCCGGCCGAGAGGTACTGTACTGATGTAGGGGTGCACCCATCTGAGTGGGCATGACTCCAGGCGTAGAGGTGCTCTGGGAGGAACTCAAGGTGCCGTACTGGCTACTTCCAGGCGCCGACGGGTAGGAAACAATTGGGTAGAGGGGTGCTCCAGGACCACCTGCTGGTGCAGGCATCAAACTGGGCTGCTGCTGCTGCTGTTGAGTGGGCTGTGGTGGGGGAAGGTGGTACGACTGTTGTCCATAGTAGGATCCTGGCGTGGCATATGGTGGATGCTGCTGCTGGTTGTACTGGGCATTTGATGGTGGTGGTCTTGGAGAGGGAAGGGTGGCATATGGCTGAGATGGAGGGGCAGAGCTCGAGGGTGCACTGTATGGGGAGGGTGCTACATGATGCTGAGGAAGGTGATGGTGGTGGTGGTGTTGATGTTGCTGATGGTGGCTCTGGTAGTAGTTAGCACTGTGGGCACTGTTCGTGATGGGTGCTTTGTTGGGAGCAAGTGTGGAGTGAGCAGGAACGGTGGGGTAGCTCTGTTGTTGAGGTGGGGGTCCATAGCAGCCTGTAGGTGGATACATGGATTGGTATGTCTGTGCAGGACCTGAAAAGAGGGAGGGGGTGGTAAAGTGCATGTTCAATGAGATTAGAGCCAAAAAGGTTAAGTTTAGAAAAGCTCACACATTAAGTACTGAACAGAGGTTAACCTTAGCTGCAAACAAGCTTCATCAGTAGCTGTTAGCTGCTCTTCAACAGTAAGGGTTAATATTGAACATGCATCCCTGACAGAACAGAAACAACCATTAATAAATACTAAATCATTACAGTGCGACTTTAAATCGACTAGTTGTTTTAGCTTTCATATAAAGCAGACATTATTAAATGTTGGTGCGCAATCTGTCACACAGTTCTCACCTTGCTAACTCTTAACTGTCGATTCTCGTTAGCCGCTATCTCCTCTGGGTTTCACTACTAACTCTGTAGGTTAGCTCTTCAGTTAGCTAGAGTTAGCCACCATCTAGGTTTAGCCGGAACACTCAGTTTTTTAATTAATTTACACGTCACCCTAATTTATACTTAAGTAGTAACTATTCAAATTAATACCAAGGGACAGTTGTACAATTTAAACAAAACAGCGGCTGACTATCTGACATCACAGAGGGTTAGCATGCTAACTGTAGCGAGCCGGCTAATCGCATCATTCGGCCTGCTTTACCATTCTGGTAGGGGGGCGCAGCTCCGCCGTTCGGCGTCGAGTTCTGGCTGTAGCTGACGGAGCTGTTAAGGTTTCTGTAACCCGGCGCAGACATCGCTCAGTCCTCCCGTCCTTATGCCCACAGGTACACGGGTGGGTAAATACACATGAGCTGCGGTGTCCCACAGCCTGGTTTCACCCTCGAAAAATGCGGCAGAGAGGCTGCTGCTGGTCAGTGAAGACCCGGGCAGCCTGGCCAGGTCTGCTGGGCTGAGCTGAAGCTTCCAGTCGGTGTGTTAAGGACCTTAACTCCTGGATCTGGTCCTCTCACTCCCTCTTGTGGAGTTTCAGTGAAAGTATGGAAGACATGTAAATCAACTGTTTTATTATTTTACAAAAAAATATTTTTTTTATATAACTATCTTTTGAATCCTTTCTGTATTCTGTATTAGGCATGTACTATTCATATCTTAATCTATAGTCATACTTAAGATCTGCAGCTATATTCTACGCAATTCTAGGTCGCAATACTACCTAGAATATATTTGCACAATGCCTAACTTGTGGCCTAAGGCAGAGGTTTTCAAAGTGGGAGGTCCAAATAGTTTCATAGAAGAATATTTTACATTAGTTTCCGTAAAAAGGACACGTGGAACAGCCTAAATGTGTGTAATTTGGTTAAAGAGAAAGTTTAGAAATACAGTCTGATCTGTCTATGATGATAGACATTCAGGACTTGAGCAAAACTAATTAAGGATGCTGTGTCTTTTTCCAAGCTTTGCCTGAGGGGAGGCCCACAGTCTCAGATTTTATTGTAGTATACATTGTATTTTTTTTAAATAAACATTGTATTCAGTTTTTTATATCTTCCTCTGTAACCTGTTTCCTGTGCTTCTATTATGTAAATTTCCCCTCTAGAATCTGTCTTATTTTCGATGAAACATCAACACGTTGTCTTAAATCGCACTACTACAACTGCTACCTCTACTACACTAACTACAACACAGGAATAACTGAAAAATAATGTAATACTTACATAAAACAGAAGTAAAATAATACAACTGTATCTTTATTTCATGAAGGCGCAATGATTAAAATCCTCATGCTCAACTTTTGGTCTGCTTTTGCATGGTTTCATGTTGACACGTGTTTATCTCAAGTCATCCCAAGTAAGGCACGCAGATGCTGCTTGTGGTTTTAAAGAGTTGAAGCAACACCTGCAGTCTAAGTAACATGAGATTGCATGGTTTGTATGCAGCATGAATTTAAAATTGTCAGTGAAACCATTATAATTTAGAACAAAAAAAACATGTAATTAACATAAATAATTGCCAAAGCACTGATAAAAGATAAAATCCCAGTTTTACACAAACAAGCACACGCACAGACAAAATTTCAAAATCTTCTGGAACGGAGATTTCATTACTGAAGCATTCGAGTTTCACAAAATTCATTGTAATAAAACTTGTGGATTCTGCACATGTATTATTATATTTTCTTCAATAAAAGATGATTTATGAATGGTTTTATCATGTGATATCGGTTACACAGATGAAGTATTAACCCCATTAGATACAATAAATCTGACTTGATTCATATAAAAATATCATAACTTTAAAATATACTGGGCACCACTAATTCTAGTTGTGTACTAGTGTAGCATTTTTATGTGGCTGCAAGCACTGATGTCCAATTGTAACTTCTGCATCGCTACACATCCTGAGGGATTCTGGGTCGTCCATCAGTGCACTCGCACTCTTCTTTGTGATGCGGAAGAGAGGGGGGTGTCTCGCTCTGAGCCTGTCCTTTGGTTTGGCAGGTGGGGCAGCAGGCAGTGTGTCCGTCCTGTCTGCAGCTTGGGCAGGACAGAACCAGCTGACAGCAGAACTGTGTGGAACAGAGCTTGTACTCGTCCCAGGGACAGTGGCAGTACCTACAGTCTGAACATAATTAGTTGTATTAATACGTTTGACATAACTTTTAACACAAAGACCATACTGATAATGTTAAAAACTTCTATATATCATTCAAAATGCTGATAAGGGGCACACACTAACCTGAGATGACGTCGCCGTTGGAGGAAATGGTGTACCGTTCATCAAACACAAAAAGTTTCCCTCGATAGAAACCCTCAGGGTAATGCTCCATGTACTTGTGGATTCCACCTTTCAGCTGGTAAACCTCTTTACACACATCCTAGGGGCAGGGTAGGAAGTAAGTATTTCCAATTTAGGTAGTAAACAATCTGTCTTTGGTGCTTAATATTTGAACTACAATTAAAAAATATATAAACTTTTTAAGTAACAGTTGGCCCAAGGACACAAGCAGACAATGACTAAACAGCTATCACTTGTGTAGAGTCACCAGCCTCCCAAATGTGAGTTACTGCCCTGCAAGCCAGTTTCATTAGTTGCTTAACATTTAAATAAGTGGAAATGTCTTTAGTTCACATCCATGACAAGTCAACTTACTTTCGAGCGGAGGTAAGCAGAGGCGCGTTCACAGCGGATCCCTCCTGTGCAGTACATCAAGACCTTCTTGTCTCGGAACAGTTCGAGGTTCTGGTCAACGTAGTCCGGGAAGTAGCTGAATTTACGGATGTTTGGGGCCAGACACCGAGTAAACTGTCCCTGGAGGGAAAAAAGTATCCGGGTTCAGAATGACAATCAATTAGTGCAACCTGGCTTTTGTCCTGTTTGAGTATAATTGTATGAACATTGTCCTTTTTCCATCAAAGGTGAAAGCCTGCACAAAAAAAACTGGATATAGTAGGAATTCAGCATCTTACTCAAGGGCATTTAAATGAACAATTTACCACAAAAAAATAATCTACTTTACACAAAGCTGGTTAAAACTCGTACCTTGGTGGTCAAATGAGATAGAATAAACAAAGGATCAGCTTTAATATACAGCTTGTAGAACCTGTGCAAGTCAATGGTTTTAGAGGAAAACTGATATATTACTTACAATTTTACTCTCATAAAAATTGCGGCAGTCCAGGAGGATGGTGTCATTACACAAATCTCCTTTAGCCAGAAGAGTCTCCACTTCTTTATGAAACTCCTCCGGCTCCAGATGAACTCCTGAGCGGCAAGACAGATTTGTAACTAACATGACAACCTTTACAAACCACAAAATCAAAAGTAAAACACAAAAGCAGCAACAGCAGAAAAACACCTTTACAATTCTACTAATGTACGTATATGATTAATACAACAAACTTTAAAGAGTAGTATTGCTGGTAGTAGCGGTAGGATTTTTTGTACTGTACCTGCCAGTTGGTATGAAATAACATCAGGATCCACTCCCATTGGTACAATTTCCTTATAGACCCCGACCCTCAGGTCTGTAAAACACTCTGCGCCGCCATCACTTATCTGAACACACACACACACACACACACACACACACATGCTTCATTTACATACAATGGGCACTAATTATGTATGAATATTTAATGTTATGCCAATTATTTCTCAGAAGTAACACGATACAGAGCTCTCATTCATGCAGAGTGCTGTGTAGAAACATGTATATTATACCTAATATACAAAAGGCATATCTGTGTATTCTGTCATCAAACAAGAGTATTATTTTATACCACCTTAAAATCCTCTTTATCCATCTTGAAGAGAGGGTGTGAACGCATTGCGTCAATGTAAATGTCAGTGGCCATGTTGTTGCCACCAACTGTCCCATTGATGCCTTCGGTCGCCACCCTCACCTGAAGAAGACGATCGTGATATATTTTAAGGGGACCATTGTTCTTTCCTTTTTACATTTATAGAAACGTGTTTCAAAGTCTTTATCTGTTCCCAATGAAAACATTCTCCCAGTTGGAACCTAGATGAGAGAATTTATTCACCTTGCCAGTTAAATGGAGCTTCTCACACAAAGCTTTTTGCCAAGCACAGATAACATGTGGATCCTCCACTTGACAGTAGCGATAATAGAGGAGAACCTTGCCTGGACCCCTGAAAAGAAGAATTACATGTTAAGTTGGATTTTCACTTTAAAACAGTACAAAGACACAGACAGCAAGAAAAGTGAAACCAGATGAGAGAATACAAATTTGACCAGTACTTTTGAAGTTGCTCCTCAGAGATGTGATCAGTTTCAGGTATCCATGCAGAAATGTCAACCGGCTTTGCCTTATGCTCGTTTGGTTGCTGTGTTTCTGATTCTTCTTCCAGCTGTCTTAACAAATGCTCATATGTGGCCTGTGTGAACTGCTGTATTTCAGTATCATGAGTCCTGGCCACATGTTTGTGAATGGCAGAGTGTTCCTTGAAGGTCTGACCGCAGCAGCACCACGACCCGTCCTCCTGACTGCTATCCCTCTTGGATGCCACAAAGGCAGCAAATGACTGTGGAGAAGAAAAAGTGTGATTGAACATTTTTCTTATTTATCACTCCAGTAATCATCACAACCCCTTAGATTAATCTTGTGACCCCTTGCTGGGTCCTCACTCCCAGGTTGGGAACCAGTGAGCTAAAATATAAACTATTAGCTACAGTATAGTAGGACTGGGCGATATAGCCAAAAACGTTTTTTCATATTATTCGATATTGATAATTTTATCACGGAAAATGTCAAATCATTATTTCTTTCAAGTTTAAAGGCTGATTTCTGCTCCTGAGTGAAAGGTGAAGAAAGCAGATGGTTAATCGTGGATTTACAGAACATGACTAACAGTGGATCATTTAAAAAATCAGAGGTAGAACATTCAAAACGATTATGATAAAAATCTTTATTCAGCAAATATGCAGGAGTAAAATTAAGTAAAATCTTTTTTCAGTCCCTTTTCCTCACCAAAATAACTATCTTAATAGAAAAAGGAAGTGCTACCTTATGATTCAAATTAATTAAATCAAATTTATTGGAAACGTGTCAGCTGGCCGCGACCCTGTACGCAGGATAAGCGGTTGACGATGGATGGATGGATTTATTGGAAATCTTTTATATTGTTATTGAGGAAAATTATATTACAATAATTATCATTATTGTTTTATTGCCCAGCCCTACAGTATAGGTCATTAAGTTTTGTAATATAGCCCAAATGATACAGTATTTGACAGCAGAATATTGATTTTTAGTTTGTAATGATCTAATGACAATATAGGTGCAAATATACAGTTCATATTTACATAAACTAATTACATACAAAACATTTTTGATAAATAAAAAAAAACTTACATTTTAGTTTCTGCGACCAAAATACATAATGAACAAGAAATTTCTTGTTAGTACTCTATGGTGGACAAACTATGTGATGTTTACACTGTATCTAAATTATCTCAAACATATCTTCAGCTAATATCACAATATATTGGCACAGCTGATTTATTAATCTAGCTCTATTTTGAAATTGCAATGTGTGCAATTTATCAGTCAATATATCTTTGTATCTTCTTTATAAGTTTTGTTAAAGTTTATCATAATTCAGACTTATTACTTGTTTACTGGTCATTTTTAGATGACAGTTGAACATGTACTGTAAAATTTCACATAAAGTTTAAATGAATTCCTTAAAATGTGCTTATGTTACTGTACCTGTAAATATACTGAAACAAACCCATTTGCTGAGCTTCCCTGACAATCTGGTAAGTTATCGTTCCATGTGGTAATAACTAGAGTCGCGACGATTAGGCGATTAATCGACTAGTCGATCGAAAGAAAATTAACCGACAACTGTTTTGATAATCGATAATCGATAATTTTTTAAGAAGACACGTGAAAGATTTGCTGGTTTCATCTTCTTTAACGTAAGGAATTGATATTTTTTTGTCATTTATAAAAGTCAAATTAAGAGTCTTTGTGCTCTGCAAAAATTGGGATGAGCATTTTTCACAATTTCTTGACATTTTATAGACAAATCGATTAATCGTGAAAATAATCTGCAGATTAGTCAATAATGAAACTGATCGTTTGTTACAGCCATAGTAAAAATAAGTCCATCCCACATCAGCCAGGTCTTCAGTGTTTCTGTTGTCGCTCACCTTCCTCCTGCAGAAGCTGTAGTACCTTCTTTGTGAGGCAGAAAGTTGCTTCTCCTGTTTTAGTCCATTAGATGTCGAAGCATCAAGTTCCCAGTCCATGAACTCCGAGCAAGGTGTATTATCCGCTGCCATGTTTCAGCTTTTAAAACTAATATATATATATAGATATTTAGTTAGCTAGGAATCAGTCTTTAGCTAAGTGACAAGACTTGTAAAAATTTAGAGGGAGCTCTTTCAGCTTTGTGGTCTGAACATGTAGGAGTAATGTATCATCAGTGTTTTCTGCGTTTACCCAATCTTGACAAAAAATTAAATATTAAGTCTTAAACATGACAATAAATACAGTTTACATGTCCAACTAAAACCAAACGTGCAGCAGAAACCCCTACAGTGAACATCGGGCGATGTAAGACGACGCACTTTCCGGTTGACCCCTGACTGCACCGGATGTGCCTCACTTGAATCAGACCGCTATTATTTTTCTGCCCTAGTAGCGGCCAGGCTGAATGATCTAGAAGCTTGTGTAGCCGATTCACTTAATTTGTTTCATATTCATCTTCTCGTCGAAATATCTTACATTTACAGGGAGTGAAAAATGTCCAGGAGACGGCACAGCGACGAGAGTGACGGTAAGTGGAGACAACGTGTGTAATTCAGACGTTGGACTAACGGCTAGCTAACGTTAGCGTGTTTTTCTTAGTCGTTTGCTTGGTGCACTCACGCATTGATGCGTTATTTTACGAAGCTACGCTCTAAAATTGCCGTCGTTATCCAAACAGTGCAAAAAAAAACTTGAAGTTAACATCCGTTTATATTCATTTTCGAAATCGTGTGCTTGATTGCGCAAACTGTTGTATAGTAGCGGAACAATTAACCGGTGCGCGTTGACCGCTAGCTGCGGGGCTAGCTACCGTTACTGTTAATTAACCAGTGTAGTTAGTAGACATGGGGGCGGCAACCAAGGGATGCAAACAATGCAAATATCTCAGTGAGAGTAGCTTTTATAAAACACGTACTAAAGCGCATGTTTATCCTCTTACGGTAAATTGTGACGCACTGACTTTGGGCTGATTAAAAGTTTGCGTATTGATTAGCAGTTGAAGGGAAAATGAGCCACATTGTACTGCTTGATGGAGCAACGTTAACGTTACCTTCAGAGCCCAATGACTGTGAACTAACTATTGTTCAATACGTTATTATAATAATAATAATTTATTATTTGTAGAGCACTTTTCAAAAACAAGTTACAAAGTGCTTTAATAAGTGTAAAGAATAATACAAAAAACAAGATAAGAGCATGAAAACATTGAAAAGACTAAAATACAGATTAATATAAAATTAGTAAAATACAATAAAATAAAAGGGATAAAATAAAGTCAAATAAGATCGGGAAAGGCTCTGCTATAAAAGTATGTTTTAAGAAGAGACTTAAAAGAGTTCACTGACTCAGCCGACCTGATTTCCTCGGGCAGGCTGTTCCAGAGCCTCGGGGCCCTGACAGCAAACGCTCTGTCCCCTTTAGTTTTCAGTCGAGACTCTGGAACAGACAACAGACCTCTGCCCGAGGATCTCAAGGTACGTGCTGGTGCGTATGGGACTAAAAGGTCAGAAATATAACAAGGCGAGAGGCCATGAAGAGCTTTAAAAGTGATCAATAGAATTTTAAAGTCAATTCTAAAACATACTGGGAGCCAGTGTAATGAAGCTAAAATAGGAGTAATGTGGTCATATTTATTTGTTCTGGTTAAAAGCCTGGCAGCTGAGTTCTGGACAGTCTGGAGTCGATCAATAGATTTTTGGGTTAAACAGGTGAAAAGGCTGTTGCAATAATCCAGGCGTGATGAGATGAAGGCGTGTAAAATGGTCTCGGTGTCCTTAAAAGTTAACATAGATCGAATTTTTGCTATATTTCTAAGTTGATAAAAACATGATTGAACAAGCTTTGTGGTGTGCTGCTCGAAATTTAAATTACTATCAAACCAAACACAAAGATTCTTTGCCACAGGCTATATTACAGCTGTGAATCAGAAAAATGTCCACATTCCACAAAAATAATTTTGACCACAGTCATACTGTCTTGAATTGTTTCTATTTTTAATACATTATTCACTGTCTATGCAGCTTCTCCAGCTATATAGTGTTCCGCTTTTAGATAAATATATAGAATATCTATAGACTGAACAACGAATCGAGAAATAATCAACAATGAAATTTATTGTTAGTTGCAGCCTTACTGTTTATATGTAAATTTGGTTCAAAATAACAAATTAAAACTGGACTGTCTGTAGTATTATACAAATCGTATGTATGTTTATTTAGGCGGCACAGTGGTCCAGTGGATAGCACTGTGGCCTCACGGGTCGTGGGTTCAACTCCCGGCCTTTCTGTGTGGAGTTTGCGTATTCTCCCTGTGTCTGCGTGGGTTTCCCCCACCATCAAAAACATTCACTGACCAAAATTGATATAGATCTGGAGTTGGTCCCCGGGCGCGGCGGGGAATGAATTTCGCAGCATGTATGTGACAATAAAGTATCTTCTCTTTATTTTGTTTTAGGGTGGATTTTCCTATCAAGGCTGCCCTTGAGTTATTCTCTCAGTTAATATTTCTCATTCCACTCACTCTGTGATTATTTAATTACTCATTTACCCTTCCAGGAGGTCAGGCCCACAAAAGGAGGAGAACATCAGAGCCCATTGAAATTGAAGACCGCCTGGAGTCACTGATATGTCGTGTAGGGGAGAAGGTAAGGAGTCTGGCAATATACTTACATCACCAGTGTTCTTACTTCTAAAGTCATTCACCAGAACATTTTGATGGTGTTTTCTACAATGCATTAAACTGTACTTCAGCAAAAACAATGAATGAAAAGTATGGCTTCACTGTTAACATTGACGTGCTTTACTCTGTAACTTGCTTGATAATTTCAGACGGGGCCTGGCCCTCAGTGCAGACTATTTATATTTGAATTAGTTTGTTAAATATTGCAAATGCTAAATTGCCGCTTCCTTTTTTACAGAGTACATCATCGCTGGAGAGCAACTTGGAGGGCCTTGCGGGCGTGTTGGAGGCTGACCTTCCAAACTACAAAAACAAAATCCTGCGCATTTTGTGTTGTGTGTACGTTCATACCAGTTCTCCCCCTTTTACTGTTGAAATTATCCCTGTTTCTGTGGTAGCTTTTTACTAAGTTGTCTTCTTTTGGGGTTTTTTTTTGACAGCGCCCGTCTCCTACCTGAGAAGCTGACTGTGTATACGACTTTAGTTGGCCTCCTGAATGCCAGGAACTACAACTTTGGAGGTGAATTTGTGGAGGCCATGATAAGGCAACTCAAGGAGACGTTGAAAAACAACTTGTACAATGAAGCTATTTACTTGGTGAGCGGATATTTTTTAATGACACATAAAATGATACACAGCTTCCCCCTCGCCCCCCCCTTTTTTTTTTTAACCACATGTCTTTTTTTTGTAGGTGCGTTTTCTGTCTGACTTGGTCAACTGCCATGTGATTGCTGCACCATCGATGGTGGCCATGTTCGAAAACTTTGTCAGTGTTACTCAAGAGGAAGATGTACCACAGGTAGGTAGAAGGTTGAGTTTCAATCATTTGGCTATTTTTTTTTTTACTACACTTAAGTAATAAAGGAATCCATGAACATAGCTTATTAATTGTAAGTCCAGTCACGAATTGGTTGGATATTAAACGATTAAATGTGCAAAACATTTTTTGAATAAAAATATGCCAAAAAAGGGCAACTGCAATGATATTAAAACGTTTTGAAGTCTACGTACTAAATCCTCCTACGTCCGCTACAAAGTAACAAATTCATAGTTAAATTCCGTGTAGTGCCAAGACAGTCTGTGACTTATTAACTTTTAAATTTGGGTGAAAATGGTTAATCAAACGATGGTCATACACCAAATGTTTGGCAACCGAAATTAGGCAAAACAAAACCCGTGGTGTTGTTTTGTAGGTGTTCGGCCTAATAAATCAAAAGGCCGAAGAAATTTTAACAGTTATGTTGGCAGTGTGGAAACATTTTAAAGTGTCAGGGAAAGACACAAATTGCATTATGAGAGTCCTACCCGAAGAGAAGTCTTCATGTTACGCGATACGAGAACCACATACAACATTATTTATCAAGTCGGACTGATGAATTTAGCGCGAGGATACATGTGAAAATGTCTGGTTTTCAAAATAAGGTGAAGGTACATGTTTTATACCTTCTGTAATTTACTTTACTGGACCCTCTTGGGCCTCGTACCCACCCACCATAGTCTCTCCAAATCCTGTGGGAAACACTGAGTAAAAAGTATTTAATTAATGGTATGGTTAAAAAAAAAATCCCTACTATGCAATGCACCATTATTTATAAGTATGTGATTATATAAGTGGTCTTGTTTGTGTCCTCAGGTTCGGTCAGACTGGTTTGTGTATGTGGTGCTGTCCTGTCTGCCCTGGGTTGGGAAGGAGCTTTACGAGAAGAAGGATGTTGAGATGGACCGACTTCTCAGCCAGATCGAAGGCTACCTTAAGTAAGATGTCAGCCTTGTTTTCTTGCTAGTTAGTCTCAATTTGTCTTTTTTTGCTAGCGTTCTTGTCATTTGTTCAATGCTTTATTCAGTCCTTTCAACTGATTCGTGTATCAGTCAGCTCTTCCTTAATGTCACATGTCTCTATCATATCTAGGGGGCGAGTAAAGACGCATGTCCCCATGCTGCAGGTGTGGACTGCAGAGAAGCCCCACCCACAAGAGGAGGTGAGAGATAGATGGAGGAGCTACATTTCTCCTTTTTTATTGTTTAGAAATTTTAACCATTGTGAATCAGATTTCCATGACATTGTTGAAGTGAACTCATAAGGTCACATCAGTCATTATCTCTTAAAGCTATGTTGTTGTTATGGAAAATGTTAAGGACAAGAAGACTCAAATATTGAGACTTCTTCAGTAAGATCCTGTCTTAGTCTCTTTTCTGACCTACCTGAATTGCCTGTTGGTACCTTGCAAAATAAAAAAACTGAAAGACTTGATCCCACAAACATTTTTCTGCAGTATCTGCTTTGACGTAGCTGATTGTAGACCTCACCTCGAGAGGTGTTACGACAGCCGCTAAAAAATTGAGCTCCGTTTACGTATAATCAGATGCCAAATGGCTGATATTTTTGTTCTTGTAATTAAACAAGACATGTGATAGCCTCACCTTTACAGAAGCTTGCAGTGTGTGTCAGTTTCTCAGGACACTGTTAAAACGTGACTTTCTCTGTCCCCGTCCCTCAATCAGTACCTGGACTGCCTTTGGGCCCAGATTCAGAAGCTAAAGAAAGACCGCTGGCAGGAGCGCCACATTCTACGTCCATACATTGCCTTTGACAGCGTGCTGTGTGAGG